CAAGAGTGGAGAGAGAGACTCGTACAGAGAGAGATGTAGAGAAAGAGGGAGAGAGAGAGAGAAGATGTATCCATCCAAACAACTTGACCCAGGCTCCTGCCCGTCTTTGGTAAGCACCATCCGCTCCTTTGTAGTCCCGTTAATCGACACACTCTTCTTCCCATTTTTACAAAAACCGTTTTTTCGGCAACGAGCGATACTTTTATTCTTATTGCATTATATACTTGCTTGTTTTTGTTTTTTTCTTTTCTTTCAATCGTTCTCTAATTATTTACGTTTTCATATATATTTTTTTTCTATATCAATTTTTCGTTTGTTTTTATATTTTCACACCCCTCTGTTGATATTCGTTCCGTACATTTTCTTTTTCAATTTTTTTTTTTCAATTTTGATTTCTAACGTTTTATTCTTTGTATACCTGACAACGATGATCGCGACCAACCAAGTTGCCCAGCCAGAACCGATTTTACCGACCAGATCATCCGAAACCCCTCCGGGAATCATTCCACGTGAATGATCACTGCTCGATATTTCACCCCTTTTCGCGCATCCTTTTCTTCGCAGGTGTTTCTCACGGACTGTTTTATCCGCCGAATTCTCGCGAATTTTTGGTTCGCGAGAGTTTCGGCGTTCTGGCGACGGTTCGTGGAGGGGCACGCTCGAGAAGATTTTGTCGGGGGGGTGAAATCGAGGGCAAACCAGTGCCTCGATGATCGAGGATCTTCCGTAGATCTGTCGCATGTTGCCTGAAGTGCGAGGGAGAGAGGCGACGAAGCGTGCTCGTTGCTCGTTTTGGAAATTTTTTTGTAGATGAAAATTGAAGTATTTGTGATTTTGTTCGAAATTTCTTTAATATTTTTGGAAGTATTGCCTGGTTCGAGTGTACTGTTTTCGGACGTTGTTTCGGACTAATTTCCATTTTAACTTGTATTAGATAAATTGAATGGAGTTGTTCGCGAGATATTCCTATAGCAACGAGTAGAAAATTGAAAGCAAACTCGGGTCGAATTGCTTCTCGGTTTTCCAATTCGATTTCGTTTATCTCGTTGATTGCATCTTGAAACTCGGTGCGAAATTAACGACGAAGTCAAACATTCTTTTTTATCGAGGTAATTGAAAGAGCTGTATAATGTAATTGCACTTCTTTTTCAAACCTTCTGTCTACATAAATCTTTTTCTACAAATTTTCTTTGCACAAAAATTATTGCAATTATCAACGTGACAGAAAATATGCAAATTAATCTTCCGACACAAGTTCTCACACTTGTAAACTGTTCGAATCACACTGTAATAGTACATTTTGTCGAAAAACCAATTTCCACAATTTTTCCGAAATTTCTCAAATTTCCAAAGAAAACGCTCGAACCAAGCAATCTTCGCCATCTCCAACTGTAAATTAACTGCACATACTACACGTCACACCCTCTTTCCACCCGGCGAAATCAGAAAATCACGACCCAAAAGGAGGCAGAACTCGATTGAAAGAAATTCTGAAAACTTCTCTCCGTCTACCTTGTACAATCCAAAAACCCGCCGAAACGAGCAATAGATCAGCGCGCTTGGCCGTCTCATCCGGTTCACGAGTTGAAACGGAAGCTCGGCCCGCCTAGGCGCGGGACCGATGCAAAACGAGTCGCCACCACTGACAGACACGGCCAATTCTGTTTCAGGATAACGCAGGAAACGACGGGAATCTCGATACCCGCGTACCACTTCATCTCGCCGGACCACATCGTTAAGTCGCCGATCCACTAAAAGTGGTGAGACACACACACACTCACACGTATGTCGTTGTCGTCGTCGAAAAGGACGCGGGGCGTCACGACGCGCACGCGAAGCTGTCAATGGCATCTGGAGCTGGGCCACGCACTGTGTTCAACCAGCTTGCTAATCGACACACACACACGCAACCACACACGTTCATAGATACCACAGTTACAGAGAGAGAGAAACACACACACACACACACACACGCATCACATACTTTATAGAGACACGTGCGTCACACATATACTTGGTTAAAAAGCGACAACAACAGAAAAGGAAAAATCGAGGAGGAAGAAAAGGAGAAGAAGAAGAAGAGGAGATACGAAGAGACACACTGTTTAAGCGGAGAACGTGAATGAGAAAAGATATATGGGACACACGTCGAAAGGGGAAGGGAGGCACACACAGAAACACACAATTTACACATACGTACCCGTGACACTGGTTACGTTAAAAAATGGTTGTACAGAGGGTGGGAAGATTACACACACGCATACATATATACAGAGGTATAGAGACACACACGTGAGAATATTGTGCGCGCGCTCTCGACAAGTGAATCACCGAGGTGTACATAAGAGGCGAGAGAAGCAGATAGAAAGAGTGGGTGAGAGAGAGAGAGAGTGAGAGAGGTAGAGAGAGAGAGAGAGAGAGGGAGAGAAAGGGATTAAATCGAGCACGCGCTTAACGATTAACGAATATAGAAAAATGCAAAAATGAAGAAAAAAATAAAATTAAACAAAAACACGCAAAGTAGAGACGAGAAGAAGGCACGCACGCGCGTACACGGATATATATATACTCGAGTGTACAAAACTTGTACAAAAAGATATTTAAACGAACAAAATGAAACAAAGAAACAGAAGAAAACGAAAAAAAAAAAAAAAAGAATAATAAATAAAGAAACAAATAAGCAAGTAAATAACGATGCACGCCGCAGCCCGTCACACACACGCGGTGGCTGCTGCCGATTGGTAAAGGGAACAAGCCAAAGATACGTTAGTTTTCATTTTTATATTTAAAAAAACGAGAGAAAAAAAAACAAAACGAGGAGCACGAGAGAGGCGGAAGTGTAATTTACTAGGCTGATCGAAAATACGAGATACAGGCCTCCCTCTGAGATTCGATTTTCCTTTCTGCGTTTCGGGTGTTGTGTAAATTGCACAGGGTAAAACTGTCGGGTGCCTTCGGAAAAACGGAGACGAAAATATTTAGAATTTTAGACATTTCTTTTGTTTTGACGATATTTCCACTGAGTTGAATATGTGAAAGTATGTTTAATATTACATGTTAAATTATGGATCTTTTTAACTGCAGTAAAAATCGCGAGGGAAGAGAAATATCTAAATTGCAGTTTACACACATTTTCTTCGCTGCTTTTTTAAAATAAGATCGGCAGAAATTATCTTAGAACGAAATGACGATTTTAATTAGTTGCTTATTTTGGCAAAATTCTGGAATCACAATTTCCGCGTACCTCGTGTCGAGTTTTCCGAAGACAGTAGTTTCATCTCGTGCAATTCAGAGCAGGTAAATTAGTGGAAACCGAAGTCCAACGTCAGAAGGAGTGATTTGAGATTTTTGGCCAGCATAGTACAAGAGAATTATTATTATAATTATTATTAATCATGAATGTGTGAAACAAGGACGCTGAATAACTATATAATATTATTAGGCCGGTTGTTAGCGTTTTTTCTATTGCTGGGTATTCTAAGGAATGGAGACTGATGGGTTTCTTTTCACCCATTTAGCTAATTTAAACGTCGAATCATCCGGACGGGATGCGACCCCTCGTTGGACATCCGTTCAATCTCATTCCCCGAGATTGTTATTTGAAAATTAACATCGTTCGAGGTAATCTACGGATACAGAGTGCACTTGGAATTTTCTTAGTTTTTAAACACATCGACGGTACCATTGAAAGGAAAAGAAATGGTCCCGAAATGGTGTCCCAATATTCGTAGAAATTTGGTGTTAATTCGACACTTTTAAATTCTCTTCTTGTTTAATCGATCAATTTTTCCTCCAGCGCTAAAGAAAAAGGGACGACACTTTTTAAGAAGAAAATTTTATTTTAAAAATGAGTCGAACGAATCAAACTCCGATGGACAGATATACGGAACAAGGAATTGTACCATTATGGAATTATCGTGAAACTTCAGACTCGTTGTCACGAAATCTTCAAGTGTTACTTTCCACGGCAATAGATCCTTTCTTTAGTTTTTTTCTTGTACGGATCGAGACGGTTTTAGAGGGTTTTTTTTTTTTTAACAAAAATGATACGTATGATTTTCTTGTCCTCCTCTGTTTTTAAACGAAGTCGACCGTTCTTCAGGAGGTTCGGTAGATCCGAGTTCTTCATCTCCTTGAAGCGATGAAACGGAGACTCTCGAGAGATAGAGAAAGATGTTTGGATTGATAATCCATCATCTGGCTGCAGTTCTGATGCGTTCGGACCAAAAAATCGGAGATAATATGGTTCAATGGCGACTCGTCAAGTGGAGCACCGGGCGAGGCTGCAACCGAGACTCTGCTAATCGTACGGATCTCGTGCCATTTCCTACGCTCTTGATCGTTTTATTCCCTTGCGTTCGAATATCACATTCGTTCCGCCGCCGTCGTTCTTTCGTAACGATACTTTTCCGGTTCACGATCTGATTTTTTTAATTTTTTTATTCTTCGAGTCGTCGAATTTGGAAATCGGCTCGAAGGAGAGAGTTGTTAATCCCGAAAATGGCTTTTTATTGTTTTCCTAATTTTGGAAATTGGTGAAGGAGGGAATTATAATCCCCAGAAAAGGCTTTTCATTTTTTTTCTTAATTGTGAAAATTGCCAAAGGAGAGAATTATTAATCCCGAAAAAGGCCCTTTATTACTTTTTCCTGTTTCTGAAAATTGGTAAAGGAGGGAATTACTAAACCCAAAAAAGGCTTTTCGTTGTTTTCCTAATTTTGGAAATTGGTGAAGGAGGGAATTACAAATCTCGAGAAAAGGCTTTTCATTTTCTTCTTATTTTTTTAAATTACCAAAGGAGGGAATTAGAATTCTCCAAAAAGTATTTTCACCTTTTTCCTATTTCTGAAAATTGGTAGAGGGATTTATGTATCCCGAAAAAAGCCCTTTATTGTTTTTTCCTATTTCTGAAAATTGGTAAAGGAGGGAATTACTAAACCCAAGAAAGGCTTTTCATTGTTTTCCTGATTTTGAATATTGCCAAAGGAGGGAATTATTAATTCCGAAAAAGGCCCTTTATTACTTTTTCCTGTTTCTGAAAATTGGTAAAGTAGGGTATTAAAATCCCAAAAAAGGCTTTCCACTGGTTTCCTAATTTCGGAAATTGCTAGAAGAGGGAATTACAATTCCCAAAAAAGGCTTTTCGTTGTTTTTCCTATTTTTAAAAATTGGTAAAGAAGACAGTATTTGTTTCGAGAAAAAGCTACGAAAGTGTGTGTGGTAATTTTTTCAAGTGCAACAGCGTGTCGAGTGTCGTTTTGTGATGAAAATCGACAGTTGTTCGTCAACCTGTCGCTTCTTATCGGCATCTTTTTTCGTCTATTATTATCATTGCCAAACACTTGTGCCTCCAAGTGTTTCATTGTTGAGTGATATAGAACGAATTCTGTTTGTTTCTGTTTGTAAATGTAGCTTGGTACTCTCTTATCGTTCAATTGAATTTTACAGGAAACGCAAGACGAAGGTTCTCAGATCTTTTTAAACGTGGAAATGAAGGAGAATGTTGACACTGGTAAATAATATTTGTGTTTTTACTAATAATAAGCTGTAGCTGTTTAGTATTTTAATTGTGATTGAAGTAGGAAGAGAGTGGTTCAATTGTTTTCTTAATGTATTTTACTGAGAAAGACAATTTTTAAATATTGAAATTCTTTTCAATTTTTCCTTGGAGAAATTCATTTTTTTTTTGTACGCGAATAATTTTTCTGTGAAATATGTACAGGATGTGAAACTTTTAATACAATGTTTACTATATTTTGTTCGGTACAAAGCGCCTCCCTGTGCTTTTTTCTGCATATTAATTGATAAATTGAAGTATTCAATACATAATTTAGCTCTCTAGCACACCGAGTACAATGTATCGTAAAATGTTTTATGACCATGGACCTGCAGATGCACAAAAGGTCGGCTAATGCAAGTTAAACATACATCGTCTCGTGCATCTTGTACATTTAACTGAGAAACCAGTGATCCTCCGTTTAATAAAATATTTATTCATTGCAGTTTCAAATATTTTGCATAATTCTCATTAAAATTCTGCAAAGGAATATAAATTCGTCTATATCTTCGCTGATTTCCTCCTAATTTATTCGAAATTTCAAATGTACTTGTTTTTCTCAGCTTGACTAATTTGAACATACTTGAAGAAAAACAATAACACTCGAGAAATTCGACTAATCTTCAATTTCTATACTTTTCACTCTTCAAAGCCATAACTTTCGTAGCTGTCGACGCTTTTTTTTTTATCGATCTTCCAGATTTACGATCTTTACGATCTTCGAGGTTTTCTGTCGGCGAATTTCACAGGAAAACTCGTATTAAACCGGTAAAAATCGAGGATCTCTCCAAGGTGACAAATTTTGTCGCGATAAACCGGTAAAATTTCGCCGATCGACGAAAAAATCGAAGATCTCTCCGAGTTGGCAGATTTCATCGCGATAAACCGTTAAAATTTCGCAGATTGGAGATCTCTTCAAGTCGACAAACTTCATCGCGGTAATTCGATAAAATTTCGCCGATCAAAGATCTCTCCAAGTCGACAAATTTTATCGCGATAAATCGATAAAATTTTGCCGATTGATGACAAAATCGAAGATCTCTCCTCGTCGAAAAATTCTATCGCGATAAATCTTCAAAATTTCGTCGATCGTCGAAAAAAGGTCAAGAATCTCTCCTCGTCCAAAAATTTTCACTCACAAATCTGCGAAAAATCAACCGGTCAAGAATCGTTCTGAAAAGCGCGATCGGCGCGCGGAAATCCAAGGGAAAAGGACGATTAACCGCGACCCGGAAGTAAAACAGTTCCGCACCATTCGCACGCTAGTCTCGGCTTCGAAATGGACGCTGAAAAGAGGAGAAGTTATTCTTTTTTCTTTTCTTTGATCAGAAAGTGACCGTGGCCGCGACTGGATCTCTAGATCGGTTCCTCTTTCGCTCTTTTCTCATCCAGACGAAAAAACTCTGCAAAAATACCACCGAAAATTCTCGAAACCAGGAACCGACCAGAAATCCAGCATGGCGAAATTTAAAAAAAAAGAACGAAAAAGAAAAACCCAAAAAAAAAAAAGAAGATACGAGAAGTGAAAAAAAAGAGAAACACACGCGTTCCAAAGTCGTCTCGACAAGATCGTCGTTTTGCGTTAATTAATTAGCGTTACGATCGTTCCTTTTCGAACGATCGCGAGGAACGTTGTTCTTCTGCGCGAGACTTCCGAGAAAAGACGGGCACGCTCTTTTGTTGAAGGAACAAATGAAAATTATTACGTGGAGTATATATAACGATATATCTATATACATATAATATATATTTATTACACGATTAAAAAGAATACGGAGAAAAAAAAAAGTAACGGGAAGAAGTGGAAACGAGTTAAAATGTGAACACAATTAGAGGAGATTAGAGAGAGAGAGAGAGAGAGAGAGAGAGAGAGAGAGAAAACATAGCGATGAAAAGGTGCGAGCTCAAAAGGCCAGCTTCGAATCAGGAGGCGTCTTCTTCATCATCCTCTTCTTCATCTCTTCCACCCTCATCCAAAGCCTCGTTCCTTCTCCTTTCCCCCCGTTTGTTGTCACACTTCCACACGCTGTTCTTCCGCCATGTTGGTTAAGCCTCGATTTTTCCGAAAAGCTCTTCCTACTTTGGAACGCTCCACTCTCCGTTAGCCTAGAGAGCGTGTTTTGCATTCGCTTCGACGACTACTTCGACGAGCAATCAGACGTTTTTCGATTCTATTTCTCTATGTGTATATTCGTTGCAGGGTAAATTCAGTGTCTTCTAGAATCGGCGAGCTCTGAACAATGAGAGAGAGAGAGAGAGAGAGAGAGAGAGAGAGAGAGAGGGAAGAAAACGATAGATAGAATCGTGTGAATGTTAAACGATTATGTGACTTGCCATCTCTCCGAGACGGTTCTGTTCTATTCTCTTCTTGGTCTTTATTGTACAGTCGCTGGAAGAAATATAGAGACCTCGAGAAATCGAAGATAAGAAAATCAATTTTGAACGTTTTTGAAAAATCGACTTTGAACGTTTGTAAAAAATTTAGATATAGAGAAAATTATATACTAAATTGTAGGTGATACGTTTTTATCGAAGAATTAAACCGAATTGTTTATTTCAGACGTTTCTATTCTTTCCAGCAATGGCGGATAGCGATCGATGCTTTGCTAAAAGAGGCTCCTCGATAACTCCTCCATTTTGCAATATTTTTCCTTCAAAAAATTCTACGTGAAAGATGAAACTTACGTTTACATCCCCTAAAAAATTTGGAATTTTTCATTGGGTAGTTGTTGTAAAAAAAATTCTCAAACTTTCGCCAACTATATTTCTCCCACCAACTGTACCTTGTCTGTCGTTCGTACATGTGCAAAGTGATATTAGCTCTCGAAGCGTGCAATACGTCTTACCATACACGGTGTACGATAATTACCATACACACACAGAAACACATAGACACACGTATATACAGAAGACGCGTGTCGTTTTGGGTTCGGTGAGACCGGTTCTTTATAGACGATAGTTTCTGCATGATGTTTCGACGGCGATGCGCGTGCATTCGAAGCGAGATGCGTATCTTCAAACGCTTCGATCGATCGTTGTGTTTCGCTCGTACGATAGATCTTCGATGGAGAATCTTCCAGTGTGTGCCAAAGATTGCGATTCGCGCTTAAAAACAAAACTCCTCGAGGAAGCTCGTCGTTTTTCTCGCTATTCGAGTTTGTAATATTCTCAAAAGCCTCCGCACTTCCGAGCGGATTCCTCCTCCTCCAACGTTCTTCCTCGTCCTTTTGGGTGATCGGCGTGAGGTTCCTTTCGCGCGAAATTGTCCAAGTATTTTTTAGACTATTTTTTATCCCAGCGGTGTCGACCAATTTTTTTGTCCTTTTTTGGCCGTGTCGAAGCGGAGAAAGTTCTTTTGCAACGTTTCTCTTCCCTGTTGCGGAAGTCGAGGACGCGAGAATGGCGTC